TATGCACAAGGTGGTGTTAATTTTTTTCTCCAGCAAAGACTTCAGCTGTTCACAGATGGACTACTTGAAAATGCAAGTGATCCGGTTCCTGGGAGGCCGTTTTTTTTTTTTTTTTCATATCAATGTGCTGGAGCTATTAAACTAGTCTGCATAGGCTTTCTGTTGTAACATCCACAGTCGCAGATGTTGATGAGCTGTTCACTACAATGAAGGATTTGTCAGTCTGCTTATATTCTTGGGTGATACAAATCCAGTGAAAGCAAGAAATGCTTTGCAGATGAAAAATAGTATATCTTATATTTGGGTAAGCAAAAGCCTGTTTGTTGCTGATGTTTCTCTCAATAATCTGGGACTTAAAACTCCAGGATCTTTCTGTTGTTCAAAATTTGCCTGCATTCCTTGTACAAACTGTTGACTTCAGCACTAGGTTAGCAAGCACGTGATCTGGTGGTCAAGCTCCAGAAATGAGACAACCGAAGTACAACAATCCTGATGTGGTTTTGCTTCTGAAGGTTCAACAATAACGTGGAAGAAAAGTGAGCAGACCTTCCATGGACAGTCAGATACATTCTATTTGAAGTCAAAGCGTAAACGCTATATCCTATTACTATCTTTAGGAAAAAAAGTGTTCCATCATCTTTAATAGGACTATGTTTCTAGATGCATTGTCTGATTATTTTACTTCAACACTGGAATGCAGATCTTATTTGCATCTTTCCACCTAACTTCTAGTTCCTCTAAAATGTAAAAATCTCCTTTTTTTTGTTTGCTTTTTAACTGACTGCCTGCAATTGACAGACAAACTACTGGTTTCCTTTTACCTACTACACAGTGACAGCCCCTGGTGAACCTGAATTTGTAGCAGCACAGTCAGCTGCCCCAGTGACATCTTACTGGACCTGGGAGCCCTCTGGTGCCTGGATAAGCACCATGGACAGCGATTATTTGACCAGTTACTGTGGGATGAGTTTTCGAAGACCGCATCTACTCCCAGAAAAGCTTATCCTTCAGGATGGAAGAGGGTTTCAGTGTGGACAGCCAAAATGCATTTAGACCTCTTGCAGGATCCTGAGTTAGCTGATGCATGTATATCTACTGCTTTTAATTCAGCAATCTTACGTTTTCTCAAGGGATCTCAGGTTACTTTCTGTGTACTTGAGGGTTGGTCTTTTGTGATTGCCCTATGTCAAGTACCTGTGTCATGTTCAGAAGCCAAAGAATCTGTGGATTTTAACACCAATCTCTCCTTCAGCTCCATCCCAGAAGAATACTTCTTGCTTTCTCCCATTCAAATGGAGAAACCTTGGTTGTCAAAACTGTCCGAAGAGTCTCTCAGACTCTTAAGGGTCTATGCTGAGCTTTTCTGTGTTCAGTTTAAGAGGGATGGGGAAATACTCAATAGTATCACAGATTTAAAATTCCATGTACATAAGTCAAACCAGCTTATTGTATTTTTCAAAATCCTTCCTCCTTTTATAAAGTGAAAACTATTTTTCTGTGATTTTACTTTATTTTTTGACAGTTAAGTGTCTTAGGCTTTTTTTTTGTCCATTTCTTTAGTTGATGCATTATAGTTGGCCATTCCACAAGCTGGCTGATCTTACTAAAAGAGCTATTAGAGAGGATGACATATTACATCTCTCTGCATTAGTTGCCTGTCTGGTTTTGCTCTACTGCTGCCAAGGGAATATGCTACACAGCATTCAGATAACGTCGCTGATAGATTCAATTCGCAAAACAAAGATAAATAGATTTGAGGGTAATAGCTTAGCTTGTATGCATCAAATAGATGAAACGTTCACTTTTTTTAAAGCATAGGATTGATAATTCCTTGTCTGCAGTTACAATAATTTTGAGAGAGAGAAAACAAACTTTAATCAAAATATTTCCCTTTAACAGGAATGCTTTTGGATTAGTTCTTAATTATGTTTTATTTCTGCTTCAGTGCCTTTTTGAGCTTCCGTAGAGTTGATGGGACGCAAATGTAACGTTTCTTCTGTTTTAAAATGCTTCATCATTGGTGCTGCTAGGCTTTGCTCTGTGTCTGCATATGATCTTACTGGTGTCCAAACCCATGTGCTTATAGACCAACAAAGGCTTCTTAACTTAATGAACGTCATGTTCTGTGTCTTTTAATAAATTTTATGCTACCCTTCAGTCTCTCTATCTCCACTAGAGTCATCCGCTGGAAGCTACATTCACCATGAAGTAATAATTTTCTGTTTACCTGTATTCCTTCTCCTTTAGATCATCAACCTCTCTTCATGCTGCATTCCTCGTTTCACATTTCCATATG